TCACCTTTATTCAACTCTATAAGTGAGAAATCATCAAGACCAGATAGAATTTACAAAGCTAAAATGTTGGAATTAAAGATAAGCTATAGTTGTATTCATTTGTCTTGTCCTTCTTTCAATTTAGTTACCTCACCGAATAAATAAATAAATAAATAAAAACAAAAATATTCTAAATAAAGAAAAAAAATACTTGATTAAATTCTTATAATTTTTTAGTGTTTAAAAATAAAATAAAATAAAATAAAATAAATTATGTTAAGATTTGAAAGTATGTGTCTTAATAAACATTCAAAAAGCATAGAAGTATTGATCATGTGAGAGGTTGTTAAGTGAGTGTCTTGGGTTTGAATTCGGTTGGAAAAATGGGCTATTCCAATGAGCTAGTATTAGTACACGAAAAACCAATACTACACATCCATTCAATATGTAGGCTTTAAAGGATTGATATTAAAATCCTTTCATATTAAGAAGGAGATCGAAGATACCACCTTTTTAATCCTTAGCCTTGGTTTTTTTTTTTTTCTCTAAGATCTTTAGTTTTTTAAAGGTTAGATTTGATTTTTTTCTATCTTCTTTGTTTAAATTTGTAAAATAAAACTTATTTTAATTTTCTTAGATTAGTAGCAACTCATTCATTCTTATATTGGATAGTTATTAAGACCTTCCATAGATAAAGCTTCTTTTTACTCAATAGCATTCTGAGAGGTGGATTTTGGGTTCTTCCCTTTTGTAAGTAGTCCCAGATAGTCACCATGTATGAGTCATCAAATCGACTTACTAGCTTTTTTAGAATATGTTTTATTTTTATGTTTTATTTTTTATTAGATAAAAATTTAATGAACAAACTATGACTAGTTATGTAGTGTAAAGTTGCTTAATTACACTTGTTCCACTTATTTTGTATTTTACTTTTTTTGTTCTTTTTCTTGCTACTTTCACTTCATTCTATCTATTAAAAATAAATCTTAATTGAAGCCATCTTTTAATTGGATTAAAGAGTCAATTATGCAGTCATAGGATCCATAACTTATTGAAAAAATACAATAAGCAAGGTATAAGTACATATAAATAAAAAATGTTGCACATAAGAAAAGTATAGAATGAAATGTCTCTCATTTCCAAAATTCTTTTCTTATATAAAGAGTTTTTATCTATTGTAATTAAATCTTATCCATAATTATCTTAATTCAATTAAATCCTTATCTTTTCATGACTAATTACTAGTTAAAATCTTAATCGCTTCATTAGTTACTTATTTTTATTTTTTTGCTATGCTTCGACCATTAGCAACTTATTTAAGGTAATATCTTCTTTATAATAACTAATTCTTATTTTAATATAAAGATGTATTTAATAATATACCATTAATTTTACTTGAATACATTTCTAAGTACTTACAAGCACTCTTAATTCCAAAAATTCGATATTATGACTTTTGATGATTTTTTTAATATCTAAATACATTATCTTATATGCATTGGTACTTTTACAATAATCCAACTAACATACAATTTGTATCTTTGCATCAAGTTTTGACTTCTTATAATCTAGTAACTTTGCATAAGCAATGCATCTAAAAATATTTTTGTATAAAATACAAGGTTTTTTTCTTATTTCAAGTATCTTTTGGAGTCATTTTTTAAATTAAATAAATAAAAATATAATAAAATAAATTACTTTGTTGATGATGTTATCTTAGATAAGTTACTAATAGTCAAAAGATTGATTTATGATATATGAAAAGAACATCATAAGGATATAAGATGAGGTCAAGGATCAAAAGTCAAAGTCAAGAAAATAAAGTATCAACTAGAAAATATCTAAAGACTAAATAAGAATAATTAGTATTTGACATTGCATACCTTTGTAGTTAATGATATGCCAAAAGATTCTAGTGTCATAATATACCTTGTGGTAAGTTAGATGCCAAAGGAACTTAAAACCATGTATATAAAAATCAAAGAGTGGAAATTGTCTTTTAAGGTTGCAACTACAATCTATACGTAATGGATGTTGGAAGTGAGAGATATCTTATTCTATACTCTCTTTGTGTTTAATCTTGCTGATATTATGTCTTCTGATATCAAAGTTATTTTTCTTCAATATCATTGATGTAGATTTACTTGTGGAGCACCTATTCTTTGTATATATTGTATTTATTATCGCTTGTATCCAAAAATTTATATCAAATTGAAGCTTATATCCATGTGATATAAATTTGATTACTATATATATATCTTTGATACATGTTAGACTTCCTTCAATCTAATCTTCTTGGTTTGGTCTTTTATTACAATCTCAACCTCAATAGAGACAATTTTAATGGCTTATATAATGCCATTGTCTTCCAACCAAATTCTTGTTGATTGAATCTTTTTATAAATATTATTTCTATATTTATATGGATTCATGTGCTTAATAACATTTCAATCAATTATCTACTTGAATATGGCAGCCATAGAAGTGCTTTTACTTGCCATGAATGAATTATCATTTCTTGCAAAAATTTTGCATCTAATGCTAGCATTTGTTTTTATTTTATTTTTTTTGACATTATAGCAATTTTGTGTAAAGTCATTTAGTTTTCTTTAAATGAATCAAATTCTAATATTTCTTCTCTTATTCTTACATTGATTGGAATAGCTACCTTTGGTTTGTTTTTAAAAAAGAGACAAATCTTTATTTTAATATATATATATATATATATATATATATATATTTTAAGTCATTTTAGAACAAATCTTGAAATAACATAATTTAATATAAGTTCTTTTATCTTGATGCACTCCAATGCTAAAATAAAGATAGTTATTAGATTTAAAAAGATTCAAAAATAAGTTTATGACAATATCATTTTCATTGATTAACTTATCAATAACTATCAATTAATTTGAAAGATATTATATTTTGTTAGTATGCACCATAAAATCATCACCATCTTCCATCCTTATTATCAAAAATCTTGTCTTTATTTATAGTATTAAATTAAATAAATAAAATTAAAATTAAATAAATTTATCATATAAAAGATATTATCTTAGATAAGTTACTAATGATCAAAGAATTAACTTTTGGTATATATAAAGTTCATCTTATAAATAAAGAAGTATATCAAGGATTAAGAGGCAAGATTAAAAAAATAAAAGATCTATTAGAAAATATCTAGAGATTAAATGAGAATATAAAATACATATTATAGAAAATTCTTGTAATAGGTGAAATGTCAAAGAATCTTAGGAATATAAAATATATACTAAGGCATATCTTTATAGTAGATAAGATGTCAAAAGATGTAATAGATATAACCTTTGATGAAAGTATAAGTCAAAGGCTAAAAATCATCTATTAAGATAGCAACTACCATTTATTAGTATTTGATATTAGAAATAACAATCATCTTATTTCATACTTCTATTTGTGTAAAACCTTGCTGATGCTAAGTATTGAAATTTCTAATTTATAATTCTATAATATATAAAATTTTGAAAAGATTCTTGCTCTTATAAATGTTTTGAAAAATCTTCAATGCATTCTAATAAATGTAAATGTATACATAACCTATTAAAGAAACACAACCTAGGAATTTGAACATATAACTTGAATAAGATTGCACACAAAAAGAAGTGTGGAATAAGATTATTATTACCTTGGCATTTAATTTATGCTTTTAATATGTCTTTTGATATTTCTCATATCATAGGAGTATCTATTAGTATATATTTTATAATCTTACCTAATCTTTGGATATTTTTTAGTAGATTCTTTATCCTTTTAATCTTGTTTCTTAATACTTATTTTTTTTATTATTCATAGGATGATCTTTTTACATCCAAGAGAGATTTTTTTTACCTTTAGAAATTTATCTAAAATAATAATTTCTATAAATTAAATCATTTTATTTTTATTATTATTTATTTTAGATTACCTAATTCATGTCTTTAAATCTTGTTATTAATATTTTAAAATATTTTATTTAATATCTTAAAAAGACTTCTATTTATATTATAACTACTAATAAAATCATATTTTTTATACTATTTTTTTGTAAATTAATCTATATCAACCTCCCTCTTATATTAATAAGCTATCAATAAAAAATATTTCTAAATAATTTGTATCTTGTAAAAAATACTATTGATATTTTCATATTTTTTTTGAAAAAATTATAAAATTATTCATTATAATATAACATTTAATAATAGATACATAAAAAAATAAAATTCAGAAGAGATGATAAAATTTTTATAACATAGTTTTTTTAGTTTTTTTTTGTTTTTAAATGTGTTTTAGATTACAAATTATATATAGATTTCTATTAGTATGGATTTTAAATAAAATTAATTAATTAAGAATTTCTAATATATAAAATAATCTTATTAATTTCTTCTATTTAATTTACTAAGTCTACAAGAATCATTTTCAATTATCAATCGTCTTTTCTTTATAAAAAGATTTTTTTACTTATAATTTTTTTAAATATTAAATAAAATTAATTACTAATTTATTTTCAATTTATTTTATAGAAATAATAGTTATTTTATTTAAATAAGTTATAAATGATTTAAACAATAGTTGAGCTTTTTCTTAAAGTTCAATTACATAACTAAAGAATCAATGTGTAGCCAAGGGGGGGGGGGGTATCCAGCAGAGAAGAGAAGAGTAGGTGGGGGACGGGGGTTTTTCTTTTACAGCGTTGGCTTGCTGGGCAGGCAGGGGAGGAAGGCATCCTCCCTCCGGGGTCCCGACCACAGAGCAGCCCCACCCGGAGGAGGAGGAAGGCCTCTCCCTCCCCCTCCCCTCCCTTCCTCCCCAACCCCTCCATTCCCCTCCATTGCTCTCCCCCCTCCCCCCTGCAATGAACTCTTCTTATTTACTACGTTGTCGTCACATCCGGCAGAAGTGGAGAGCAGAGGCTGCTGTGCCGATCGCCGCATCGCTCCCCTCATTTTTTCGTTGCCAAGTCTTCGCGATCTTGAAGAAGGTATCACGATTCGCCAACACTGTGCAAATGCCGTCAATTTCAGCAGTTTTCTCGCCGTTCTTGGTGAGGTGTCGGGTGGTAGGTTTGGGTTTTCCTGAGTGGGATCTGGTGGGATCTTTGGCAACACTTCAATGGCCTTCTTCAAATTTTCCCGACGGTGTGCGGAGTGATGCGATTTGCGTGGCAAGTTCGGGATTGTTGGTCCATTGTGTGGGATCACATCTTATTTTCTGTAGACTAGGCTTGGTAATTTCAACGATCTTCTCTGATTTTTGGGCTTGTTGATGATTGCTGGAGGTATGAGATGCCTTCCCGTGTATCCAATGGATATTTGCCTCATATACTGTTCTTTGACTCGTTATGTGATGTTTAGGCATTTCGTACATTTCTTTACGGTCATACTATGTAATTGAAAGGCGTTGTATATCGTCTTTTTTGTATCGGCAGGAAGGATAGAAGTTCACAAGGAGCTTGCCTACCATGCTTTTCGACATGTGTAGATTTTGCAAGATTTAGTACTAGTGGCCAACAAGTTGGCAGATCATGAGTGGAAATGAAAGCTGAAGCGCGTGTAGTAAAGTATATGGCTGTATATTAAGATGCAGCATTTGTGGACATTGCTGCAAGGTTGAGCTTCTTCTTCTTCTTCTTCTTCGTTTGGTGTGCTAATTTTTTGACTAGTCAAATTGATTTTGAGATTGTTGGAAGGAATACTATTTTAGATTCTAGGTCTTGGGAATTACATGTGGAGTATCTAATTTCTTGATGAATTGCAGCTTTTTGTTATCTTTAGCTAATTTCTCAGGAGCTCATGTAGGAATGGTGTTGGGTAATAATGCGTTACTAGTAATATTATGCCGAGATATTTGTTTAAATCAAACTTGAAATTAGGTTTCAATGATACGGAGCTGGTAAAAAGATGCTCTGATGCTACCAGCTTGTCGCAAGTTCACAATTCTCTACTCTATTTATTTCCACTCTGAGAACAATTCACCCGTGGCGTAGTTGGTTGGGTACTTCATAGTAACATTACCTCAATTTACAAGAACATGGGTATGTTTGGGAAACAGTTTTAATGCATCCTATTGTTAGTATGGCAGCTATTGCTGAAATGGTGTCTGCTTTGTGAGGTTTTGAGTGTCCTGACTCCATATTGTGTTCTCAGGGTTGTAGGATTGGTTCGTCGGGACGAGGATATGGATGAAACAGGTCCGATATACAAGGTCAAGGTTGTTCCGTTTCTGGGTCGGTCAGTGCCGATTGTGCTCCAGAACGATAATGGCCCATGTCCATTACTAGCCATCTGTGAGTAGTGACCTACTCCTGCTGGTATTTATGTTAAGTGATGTTTTTTTCAGATGATAATTCAGTATCTGATTTAATTTTTCTATTTTTTTCTTTTCTGAATTCATGTTTTTGTTTATTACAAATCATTAAAGTATTATTTTCTTTCTGTACTGGCAGGCAATGTTCTTTTGTTGCGAAATCAAGTCAAGCTTTGCACAGATATCACTGAAATATCTTCATCAAAGTTATTATCTCTCATTGCTGAGAGGCTTATAGACACCAATATTTTAAATGGGGTAATCTAATCTTTAACTTACCTCACATTTGGTCTTTCTGTAATGACCTTAACATCTTCAGTCACAGAAGCTGGTAGATGTCTACTTGCCTTAAGCTACATCTGAGTTGCTGCATTTTCTATTCTACAACTCTCTCGTGTTGTTTGTGAGTTGTGTGAAGTCATTTGTATTAGTTTTGTGACTTGGAGTATTGCTGCTTCTATGTTCAGACAAAAAGTGTAGATTATGAGCGTAATCTGCAGCAAAATATTGCTGATGCTATGCAATTACTTCCTCGCTTGCGTACTGGCATCGATGTGAACCTCCGCTTCAGGCAGTAAGTACATTACTTGCAGATGCTGTGTTTTTACGCTATTGATCAATAACCGTATCATTTGAATTCCAGAGTCGAACTCTTTTTGAAAGTTTTTCTTTGATAACTCATTGAATCTTTAGACGGATGAATATACTCTGATGTCTCTGATAGACATAAATTTGAATGTTTGGAATAATGTAAATCTAATGTACTAGGAATGTGGATGTAAAGCTCCTCATGAGTGTCGAGATAAGTGATGCATTTTCATTTACCTTGAACCACATAAAATTTACAAATTAATCAACTTGTACTAGTTGCAACGTATTGAAAGAAACAAACGCTCTTTAGTGGAAGCTAAATATTTGAGTCTATATTATATGGTTGTTTCTAACTAGATCTGCTCTTGGACCCGCAGTATACACGACTTTGAGTTCACGCCGGAGTGTGCACTGTTCGATCTTTTTGACATCGGCCTCGTGCATGGATGGCTGTTCGATCCCCAGGTAGAGGCCATTGTAAATGATAGCATCTTGCACTTGAAATTCTTGCTTTGGTTTTCCGCTGCAATCGATTCTGTTTAATTTACTCCTATGTGCATGAGTAACGTGTTGGTTCAAAAACACTTCAAATTATCAAAGTGATGAGTTAGCCAAGCTGAATCATGTTGTGCTGTCATTGCATCAGGATAAGGAAACCAGCGAAGTGATAGGGTCTGACTCCTACAACACGCTTCAGGAAAAATTGGTTGCACTTCAAGCTAGAAGAATGGCAGAGTCTTCTGACCTTTCAGTGGAGGAGCCTACAGTTGACTTTGCTGCAGCAACAACTGCTACCCTAGGGGTGCCTACACCTTTGCCGAGGGAAATGTGGTCTAGCGAAATATCATTTGAAGATGTTACGAATGAGTTGAATCAAGAGGAATCGAAGCAATCACCTCTTGATCGGCAGAGGAAGGGTGATGATGAAGAAGCTGCCATGTTACTGCAGGCATGAACCCTCTGCTTGGGTTTTTCGGTGACTTAGAGTGTCTTCCACCGAAATTGAGTTCTACTGTTTAGTGTGTGCAAGTGTCTTCCATTATATCGATTTTCATCTAGAATGCCTGAAAAAGATTCAATTGATATTGATGGATGTTTTGAAATTGCTTTCACGATGCATTTTTGTGTGACTTTTGGTGCAGGCTTTACAACTTTCTCGAAATGAGGGTTTCCGAGATGTGGGACTCATTTCCACAGAAGATAATACCCTCTCCAAAAGTGACTTGGATAGACATTTAAATGATAATGGCAATTTTAGCCCGTTGTCTGGTACATCTATTTGCTCTGGTGGACATCTTATAACTCCTTTGGAAGAGCTCGACATGCCAGTGGAAGTTGCCGAAATTGGAGCTCGAGAAGAGAACTCTGTGACGCGTGAACCAGGTGTGTCCACGGAGAATAAAAGTCATTTTCCAGTCGATGTTGTTGGCGTTGCTAGCGACCAAGGTATCATGAAGGAAAATGTCGATGAGAAAGGGTACATAATCACGCCAGAGCTAAGTAGCAGCTCTATATTTACTTTGGGTGTTGATGTGGATCGACCTGTCAATCTGCTGGATGTCGGTGGGGACAATTTCGGAAATCAAAATGACACATCGCTTATAGATCCTGGCCTCAATGTTGATAAGCATTCGGATGTTGTCAATCCTTCAGCCAAAATGACATCGCCTTTAGATTTAAATGTATCCGATGGGCAGGCAGACTTCCCGAATTTGGGCAGGGTCGACCTTAATGACCTCAACGCAGAAGGATCTTCGGACAAAGTTGAGAAAGAGATCGTTGTATCACCCACCGTGGCCGAACAACAGCATACTCATGTGCTCTCTTTTGGACCTGCAAGTCATAGCAGCTCACGCAGTTTTGGAAGTTCTGGATTAGAAGATGAAGAACCTCTGTATGAGGGAGAAGATGACTTTGCTAACCTAGGCAGCTCTAACCAAGGTGATAGTGAACCTTTGTACGAAGGTGAAGTAGTTTTGGCCGAGCTAGCCAGTGGAAGTGATCATGACCCTGAGCAGCTACATGTACGACATGGCGACTCAGACTCTCAGAAAGTGACAATCACTGTGTCTGATCGGGAAGGTTAGTTGGAATGAACAGCAGATGCTTCGCTTGTCTCAATAGGAACACAATTCCTTATAGTCTCTCTCTCTCTCTCTCTCTCTCTCTCTCTCTCTATATATATATATATATATATATATATATATATATCTGATGATGATGACGATGATGATGATTTTTGTGTGCAGGTAGGATAATTAGACATTTCCTCGAAGACAACGCAAGTCAATTGACATTCTACGGGTAAGTCTATATGTCAATGTAACTATAACTTTTTGGAGAGTGGATCTTGGCAAACTTTGTGCGAGAGAATAGCAGGCTTATAATGATAAATGTGTAGTTTCTTAGCAGCTCCATATTTGACCATGAATCAGGGGAACAATTTCAATCACAGTTAAGTAGAGTCTAAGTTGTTGCTAAGTCTAGGTTTGCTGATTACTATGTTAAGCGGCGAGTAATTTTTATTCTATGTCTTTAACGTCCTATGTGGAATTGTTTTGTGAATTTTCAAAACTCCTATGACCTTGATCTTAGTCTTTTTCTCGAAATCTCAGGCTGTTTAGCTTGGTTGAAAATCTCAAGGAGCATGAGTTATGTGTATTTTTCCGGAACAATCACTTCAGTACTTTGTTCAAGGTAAGTGACTGTTATAGGAGGAGTTCTATGTTTGGAAGTTTGTAAGAGTACTACTTTTCCTGCGCCAGTCATCGGTCCGTCATTGAGTCGAGTAGTATGTTCAAAGTTCAGGCTTAAGAAGCGAAGTGTAAGTTACTTTGTGTTTTGCTTCTGTGAGTACAAGTGAAAGTGCTATTGGATCCGGAGTTAGTAAAGTTGTCTGGATGTCAAGCCAATATCTTGGAAGAATGGGTCAATTGATACAAGATAGGAAGAGAACATAACTCTTCCTTCATTATATCACAGATATAAACAATTTGAGTGTGAACTTTTGCTGAGCATGTTTTTCACCAATTATGTGATGAGCCTCGAGCGCGGAGTGGGACTTCGCTTGTCTTTCCGTGAAATCAAGTTTCATGTCAGACGTATTCTCAAACTTAATCTGCTAAATTTGTGCAGCGTCGTGGTAAGTTATTGCTTCTTGCAAGTGATCAAGGGTATTTACACCAGCCTGTGGTTTGGGAGCAATTGGAGTCGGTATGTGGCTTGTGCACTTTTATTCAATTATTTAACAAACCCTGTATACTGACGTGACTTAATTGTTTTTGTTTTTATTTTGCATACACTGAGCCTTTAATTGCTGTAGGTTACTCACGTTTTCTTCATTTTACACTTATGATTTTAATTCCTGGCTCCTTAATGACTTGATGACTATTTAATCACTGCGAGTTAAATTCTCACGATAGTGTTATCGTCAACCTTTTCAAGTAGTTAAAGATTATGTAATGACATTTTTTGCTTTACCAACTTTGAAATAGCAACATGAACCTTGTCCTTCAAGTTGCAGTCTGCGTGTTGGATCCTTTTTGTGGCAGGTTGACGGTGACACGATTTTTCTGAAAGGAGATTTTACTCCTTTTACTGCCGAGGAACATAACAATGGCTCTTGGAACATGAACCTTGCCTCGAATGAGACAGCAGTATGTTTCTATTTACCCAAACAAGCATATGAGGTTGATTATTGCTTAGGTTCCTGTCATTTCGTTGACTTTATTTGTCATCTGATTTGATTTTCACGCAAGTAGTTTATTCTATTTTCTTTCTACTGCATCACAGATGTAGATCTTAAAGATATTATCTGCAACTTGAGCATTCGTCATTCTCGAAACCGACTTAGAAATTTCATTAACTTTTCTGAATGTGTGACATGGGGTAACGAGGACGTTCAGGATTTCATGTCTACTCATACCAGATCTGAGCAAGAGTAAGAATCTTGTGTATTTTTATCCCTGTATCCAGCCTGTGTCAGCGTCTCTGACCTCTACAACATATGTTGTTTATGTATACTACTGTGCACAAGTCTTTCGACTTCAAATAATATTTTCAAGTTGCATTTTTTTGGTTCTTAATATCGTATCCTATTTGCGATTGACCAGAATCTTGATGTGTAGTTCTAGAGTGTACTCTTTTGAATAAGACTCGCTTAGATTTCTTTCGAGCGTTTGTTCGATGCAGCTTGGACTCTCAGTGCGCGTCAGACCTACAGCTGGCTTTGGCCCTCCAACAGCAAGAGTTGGATCAGCAACAGCAGCAGCACCAACAGTTGCAACAGCAGCCGCCTCGGGTACCTGCACAGTCATCTTCTGACCCCTCAGCAGCTACTCAACAAGCAGTTCACACTCGCATGTTCGTTGTAAGTTTTAAGGGTTGTCCACTCATTTATTTAGCATTGTGATGAAAGGTTTCTCCTAACAGCCTTCGAAAGGAAAAGAGATTATTTATTTATTTATTTTCTCTCTTTCTGGATTAGTAGTTTTTTCATTAATGCAATACATTTGAAGCGTCTGCCTTCCGAAAGGATCCGTTTCCACCAGCTCTGGATTGATGCCAAACTCATCAAATAATGGACATGTACATGCAGGGGCCATCAAGGGGCCATCCAGTTATGCCAAAGCCAGAGTCTGCAAAGAAAGAAAAGTGTTCCATAATGTAGATGAATTTATTTAAGGTGCAGACCAGAGCAGACCACTTTGGTGTACATAATCCTTAGTGCCTAGCAAGGTGCTAAATACAGTTAAGCGCTAAGTCTGCTAATTCTTGTTTGAAGGACATGTAATAGTAACAACTGGTAGGAACTATTATACCAATCCTGCGGAAATTTCTGCATGTCTTTCGTGAAAAGCAGGAGAGCACTCATGTTTACAAAAGTTCTATGGTCTTTTCTCTGCCGAGTTGTTGGTTGCGACTTGCATTTGAATGTCAGGTGACAACCCTAAACCCTAAATAACTTCTTAATCAGCATTTGGACGTCATTCAAAATGATCATCTCTAGTTGGTGATACTATTAAAACTAGGCAACTGTAACACTGAGAATAAAGGATCTTTTCCCAATGTTGTGGTTTGCCAAGACCAACAACTAGACATATATATATATATATAGAGAGAGAGAGAGAGAGAGAGAGAGAGAGAGAACCTACATAACCACGAAATGTTTTTGTTGCTGTCCATGGTGGTTGGTTGCTTCTTGACGTGAAATGAGATGATTCATTGCCAGTTTGGGAAAGTTAATGTGGAAGGTGGAGGTTGGAGTTAGGCGGTCAAGAAACCCAGTGACAAAGATGAAGCTAGGTCTCTCCATGATGAGGGTTCTAGAAGTTTTGCGAATTTATTGCCTAAGACATGAAGTTACATTTAATTGAGTTAACACTAAAAGCAGATGTGATTGAAATCTGTAATATGTGGGAGATCTGCAGAATTGTACATAATTACCTTGGGTAATGAAGAGTAAGCAGGAGGGCTTTTCAATATATAGTATCTCTATATAATACGTTGGAGGACTCAACCAAGGTAAATGAGACAAACGGATGGAGCTCATCTTAATTTTAACTTCTATTGAATTTTATTTTTTATTCCATCCTCCTTGTTTGATACTCCCTAGCACAATATGTTTTTTTCTATACAATTCTATAATATTATTGTTTGGTGTAAGTTTATGTGATTGCAAAGTATAAGGTTCTGAATTGCATATTCATGCACATATATTTAATTGTATTGTATTTTACTTTTAAAATAGTTTATTAAGTGTTGTCTTAAATCTAAAATGTGTAAAAGTCATCCTTTGAAATCTACTGTAAATTCCACTTGAATTGTCTAAACTAAACCTAAACATATTAGACAATAGCAATATTAAAGATATTAGAGTTTTGTTTAATTCATAACTGTGGACTTACGCTAAAGTGTAACCTTTTTTAGTATGAGTGTTGATTTTTTTTAAACAATCTATACCAAATCAATAAAAACACATATATTTTAAAAAATTAATTTAGAATTTTACAAAAGAAGTAATTTAAAGAAAGTATTTATAGACATTGAAGCTCTAAGAAATAGTATCTATACTAATTTGATGTGACCAAATACTGATATATACTTGCTACTAGTATTAAATGAAGTCAATAGAGATTTTTATTATTATGTAAAACCACTTTATTATTAGAATTCTAATTTTTTTTAATCTGATTATTTTTTGCAGCAATATAGGTTTTATTTTTTAAAATTATTAAAATATTTTATGAATTAACATGTATTAATTAAAAATATTCAAATAATTAAATAAACTACTTGTATCTAATTTTTTATTTTTTATATTTTTACATAACTCTATGTTTTATTTTTTTATAATTTCCATATAGAGATATCCTTATTATTTTAGTATGAATTTGGTAAAGAAAGATAACTTTAAAAGAACTTGAATTCTAAATATTAAGTATGTAATATATTTTTAATAATCACTAACATTTTTGAATTAATTTTTAAAATTATACATATAAACATATATACATATGTTGTTAAATATATTATAATTGAATCTTTTGCTTTGGATAGATTGTCCTTAGAATACACTCTACATGGTATTAAACATAATTAAAATAATTTTGATTTTTGATATCATATCAATTCTTTAGAAAGTTGTCATTTAATAATGTTATCAATCATTAGCAAAATTTAAAATTATAAAGATAGTATTTTGTTATTTTTATAGAAAAGAAATTAAATTCCTATTATATTTTCAACTTTGTTTGTTTATTTATTTTAAAATAATATCACTTGATTTATATATGACTCATTAGGTTTTGCTTTTATTATTTAATATAGCACAATCCTAGATGGATTATAATAGACTATAGGTTATTATAATCTGAGATAACTTAAGATTTCATAATAGGTGTAAATTCCTTAATATATTAAGAAATATTACCTATTTATTTTCATTATCAAATAAATAGATAAATAATTTATTTAATTTAAGCAATTCTCTTATATATATATTTTTCAAAATTACGAAATATCTTATTTAAATAAATTGAGTTGACCATCTTTGTGAAGAATATACTTGGATGTGAAAACAATTGTGTTTTTTTCTTAAGTTTATCACTTTGATTTATAAAAAAAAGGTTATAGAATAAGTAGATTAGAATATTTTTATAACTACTGAAAAAGCTTTGTGATAGTGTAATAATACATAATATTTATATTTTGTAATTAAAAGAATGAATTACTTTCTTTTACTGATATTATTAATCAGTCTTTTTACTTACAATTCCTTGAATAAATGTGATCAAAGCACTATTAAAAAAACAAAGTTAGATAAAAGAAGAAACATACATTATAATCAAAAAAGAATTCTAAATGCTAGAGTATATTTGTAATATAAAAATTTCAAGTAATATGTCACAAATATTTATAGATATTAATTGTAGTATACTAGATAAAATTTATTGAAATTCAAAAATCAAATAAAAAATTCAAAAAATAACTTAAGAAAAAATCTACTTTTAAAATTAAAAAAAATTAAAAAATATTTTAATAAAAAATTTCATAATTAAGATTAATTATAATTTATTTATAATTTAGAAATAAATAAAATAAAATATTTATATCCAAAATATTTATTAAAAAATATTTAAAATTATTAATTTTTTTAACAATAAAATAGTAAAATAATAATAAAGAAAAAGAAGTTGGACTTCAAATGAAGTAATATTTTTTTAATATATTATATAAGAATATAAGTGTGGCTTAAAAAAATTAGAACTTTAAAGATATATCATCTTTTTTATATATTGTAATAAATACATATATTACCTAACTAAAAAAAAGTAGAACAATAATTTGTAGAAATAAGTAGAAATATATTAGCCATATATTATCTATTAGACTTGAAAGATTGGCTATATGTTGGTTTAGCAAATTGATCATATATTGGCTATTATTTTTGGCATTAATATGTCCTTTTTAAATAACTAGTATATGTAAAGACAAGGATGAAGCTATCTTCATACTTATCAACAACTTCTATTTTAATCTTAATTCAAGACTTTTTATATTTAAAAATAGCTATTTTAATTCTTTTCTATTTTATGACTATTTCTTCTTAATTAATTAATTAATTAATTAATTTTTTCAATGATACATTAATATATTATTTTTTAAAAGTTTTGTTAAAATTCATTTTTTTGAAAATTTTAAAAAAATAATAATTTTTTATAATTTTTTTGTTTAAGATTATTCTACTTCTTGAATATTATTTTTATATTTTTAAAGGTTGTGGACTATAATTCTTTAAATTATTTTATTTTTTACATTTTTTTTGTATTTACAAAAAATAAACTATAATTTTTTTTGTAGAGATTTTTATTTGATATTAAAGATTGTACTTTATTCTACTTTATTTTGACCTTTACATTTATTTATTTGTTATTTATTGTTGAAATATAAAGAAATAAATTATAGATGCTGCATTTGATTGAAGTGAGAATAGGTTTGCAACTATTGCAAATCTTTATGAATTTTTTTAAATGCTTTAAAAAAAAATCTCACATATTAATTATTTTAACTATAGAAGCACTATTCCTATGCCTAAAGAGGAAGTTAATAATAATGTTTGATGTTTATGCCAAGAAATTGCATAGTTGATAGAAGCAAGTATAAGTAGATTAACTTCATAAGTATATTTTGAAAGTCTTGCTACTACAAATCTAAAAGAGTCAAAGATTAATATAAAAAATAAGTTTGATAGAATAGTATTAAAATTTTAATGATTTCTACAATAAGCCAAACTCTTTTTAACATCACATTCTTCTTGTTAGTTTGATGGAATTATCCATATATAATTTATACTTATATTTTTATCTAAAAATATTATTTTAAATTTATATCTTTAAAAAAAATATATTTACAACTTTTGTATAATCTAAATATATTTTTAAAAGTATTCTTGGTGACATTTGGAGAGATCAATTCAGCCAAGGTAGTAAAAACAAAACTTTGGTCTTTGCAATAATACTCACATTTAACTACTATCTATACAATCAAATTCTAACAACTAATTTGTCACATTGATTGGAATAATAACACTCCTATTAATCAATTTTAATATAATTTAGATTTGTTTTTTAAAGATTTATTGTTGAAAATACCAAAAATATATTTATTAGACCATTTTATTACTCAAGTAATTGTATGCAACAATCAATTCTTTGAAAGGTGCTAAGAATAAAGATTTTGTTGATAAAGAGTAAATCATGTCATGACAATAAGTTCCAAATTCATACAAATCTATTTATCAAGGCTTAAACCTATATAAATTGAAACAACTTGATGTAAGCAATTAAAACTAGAAGAAAAAGACAAATGCTATTGTAAAAATTTATATGTATATTATAAAAGAGATTATGTTAAGATATAAGAATATTCCATCAAATCAATAAGAATTAAGGCATGAAGCACAAATTCCAGCTTCATAGAATTAATAAATCAAGCTGTTCAATTGCAATAGAGATCTAATAGTTAGTCATTTGTAAATGAAAACCATCAAATATATATCTTGTATTATGACTAAATTCAATATCTTTTTCTAAAATTCTTATATTTTTTACAAATTTAAATTATGAAAATTAAACTTAATAACTTTTAGATATTAAATCTTCTATATGTTCTACAAATAAAGAATTTTCTTTATAAGAAAATTAATCTTATTAAAGAAGATTAGATCAACTTTAAAAAGGTCAATATGTATGTCTATCTTTTACTAATGCCTTTATCAACAAATTATCAAGCATGTCTTCTATTGTACAACACTTCATGTCAATTATTCCAATTTTAATATTATTCCTTATGAAGTGATATTGAATGTTAATATGATTGGTTTTTGAATGATGTTTTGAGTTCTTTATAAAAGCAAGACATTCTTAATTGTCACACTTCATTGGATTTGCTTCCAATTGCATAAGTCTAATGTCTTTTAAAATTTGTTTAAGTCATATTGCTTCTATTGCTCTAGGGTTTACAACCATGTACTCTACCTCTATTGTTGACCTTGTAATTATTGGTAGTCTTGTACAATTCCATGAAATAATTCCTATTCCAACAAAAAGCACATATGCTATCATATTATGTGAAGTCTTGCTTGAAAATTCCCCATGCATCTTATTATGGAAAGAAAAAAAATTGCAACAATAAAATTTAATAATTCTAATAAAATTATATATAAATTGAAATTAAGGCTTAATAAATATAATCAAATATTGATCAAGTTCAATTAAATTTTCAAATAAATTATAAAAAAAATCTTAAGTGAATCCCAATTGAATCTTAATAAAATCCTAATAAAATCTTAGACAAATTTCAATCAAATCTTAATAAAATACTAACCAAATCTTAATCAAATCCTAGTCAAATCTTAAAAAAATTCTAATCAAATCCTAGACAAATTTTAGTCAAATCTTAATCAAATTCTAAACAAATCTTAGATAAATTCTAATAAAATTTTAATCAAATCTTAAATAAATCCTAATAAAAATTTATTCAAATCTTAAATTCTAATCAAATCCTAATCAAATTCCAAATCCTAAATAATCTTTAATCAAATT